ATATTCATACACATATATACATACCCACACACGCATGTAAGGCACTCTGTTTATTGCACCTGAAAAGATGAATGGTTTGCAAGGCAAAATGGGCAGGTTATTTGCTTGCACAAGCACCCGGATATATGTATGTGTATATCTATATATATATATATATATAATATATGTCGGCGACGCGTTTTATTCACTGCGTTGACGCCGAAGTTTGTCATCAAGTTTTACCACCGCTCAAGCTTTGGAAATTACGAAAATTGCTACGCTTCCTTTAGTTTGCATATTTGAGTTGTCACTTGTGGAGAAGCAAAAACAACAATTACAATTACGTTCACGCAAAACAACAAAATAGCGAATTTAATCTCGACAAGCCATAGTTGTACGAAGTTTCATTACGCCCTCACACACACACACTGCATATGTATGTATGCGTCATTTCTGATGAATTGTCGAACGCTGGAAGGGCGTTTTAGGTATTTCAGAAATTTATTTGGGGAATATGCATTACAAAAGCTTCGCGTTTTTGATAGATATGTACAAATTACAACCCTGTGTCATTAGTGTTTATAACTTTATTTTGAACAAAGGCGATCTTGCTCTTGTCAGCGTAAACGAATTTTCTCGCTTTACTATGAACACTATAAATATGGTCTAGTAAGAAAAAATTCATTTTTTTTCATCTTTATATCTCCCGTTTTATAAGTTCGATTGAGGTACGTTATATGACGTTAGAAAGATAAGATCTCGTACTAAACAAATTTTAAAATAGTTTTGACCCAATACTGAATCGATCAATATCTAAGGCGGTTATTAAGTAAACAACTAATGTTGTGATTATAATTAGGATTATTAGTGCGTGATCGTGGAAGAATGTAAGTTGTTACTTGACGATGATGATGGTGATGAAAAGCGGGGCACATATGACAACGTCATGCGAAAACGGTCGTGGTCGAATCTAGGTGAGCCGGCGCACATGGTGGGCAAGCCAAGTTTGATGGTCAGAAAGGTTTTGCTATGTGTTTGGTGAGATTGTCAGAGAATCATCTACTATGAACTGTTCCCCTACGAACAAACTCTTAATTTCAACGTCGTACTTTCAATATTTGCATCGTCTGAAAAAAGCGATCGCCCAGGAGCAGCCAGCTTTGGCCAATAGAAGAGGAACTATGTTACATTAGGCCACAAACATCGATAGTGATTCGCAAGAAGCTCCGGGAATTTTATTGGGATGTTTCTATCTATTCACCTCTAGAGTACGGAGCTGGCACCAAGTGATTACTATTTTAATTTGACTATGGTGAATGATTTTGCTGGTGAAAATGGGCTGCCCCAGAAAATTGCTCAACTTAGATTCCTCTTACCTCTCCACTTTTAAATCGGCGATTTGCCAAACCTTTAATTCGTTTGAAAAAACGTTTTCTGAAGACTTCAAGACATTCGTTGTGTCGATAACCCCATTATTCTATTAAAATTTCAGCCGTCCGGCAACAGACATTGAACGTTTGGAAAAATACGGTGAATAAGCAGCAGTTCATAGCCTAGTTCGCCCAAGTTAAAATTAGCGACGACGGAGTTTTGACCCTATTTGTTGCCTAGTGAAAGAGCACATTTTTCTTTGTCCAATAGAGCCCAACTTTCTGCAATTGGTTGTCAAATTGGCCAATAATTCGGCATAGGTGAGCACTACTCCAAATAATCGATGTATCCCGATGGCCCATTGTTGATCAGTTGTCATCATGTTCCCCATAAAAAGGACAGTCTTTGTCATTTTCGGAGCACGTACGTTCGACAAGTCCATCATTTGGACGGTTCCATGGTGTCAGCTTACGTTTAAACGGCTTCAAATACCACTATAAAGTAATCTCACTGTTGCAGTTATTTTTCGGCGTGGTCGAACGCGGTACCCGACGCGCCGGCAGATTTCTCATGTCCAATATTTAGTACAGGATATGGCTCATGCAGTTTTAAGGTGCCTACTGTCAAAGGTAGCTCTCGTATGTTCATTTCGCAGTATGCCAATAGAGTTTTATTACATTGCGGTTTGATTTGCATCTTGTGTTTTGAAAAAGGAAAGGGAAGTATCTAAATCTGAAGTTATGATATTTTATATTGCTATGAGAGCCAAGATGTGATATCTTTTTGTTATGAGCAGATACTACGCTTATACCGTAAAAATATGTTTTAAGTCTTGATGAAAGATTTGCTTGCTATCACATTTTGCAGTGATTAAGGGGTTAGGAGTAGTCAGATTTTTCAAAAAATCAATTTATTTTAGAATTTTCGTTAAGTGTATTATCTTGAAAATATTCACTGAACATTTCAGTTTGATCCGATGATTGCTTTTTGAGTTATTCGATAAATAACAAAGAGCGCTGGGACAGTTTAGAGCGCTTGAGAGCAGGTAGCTAATATTTCTGTACGTAAATCTAGTATGAAACTTTAAATGCGTTTTTCTCAAAACTATGTTTTTTGAACTGGTGACAACTATACAGCTTTTAGAATACATAATAAATTCGGGCCTGATCAAAGAATTTTTTAAGACCAATTAACTGTTGATTTTTTACTATAAATCTAGAAAAAAATTTTTTTTTTTGGAATTTTCGTGACTTCAACTCAAAACATTGTATAATAATGCCATATGACTACTTTTGTAAAATAACATGATTTAATAGCAAAAACAAATTACTAAAAACTCTCATTTTTTCGTGCCCCTACCCCTAACCCCTTAAAAGAAAGGCTTGAGTTAGCACTAGTTAAGAAGTTTGACATTTCGTTAACAAGATCTCAGACATAGCTTAACAAAGAAGTCACAGCTTAACAAAGCATAAATTATATTGTAGTTTCGTCCAAATGGTCTGAATGTATTGATTTTATTGCCAACAAACCGGATGATATGCTGTATGCCAAAAAAGTTGATGCGTGCCACAAATTCATGTGTTCATATTTATTAAGTCGAATTTTAAATTTAAATAGAGTTATAGATTCTTGATTTAGTTTGGAAAAATTCTGGCATGTCTCAACCAATATTTGGTGTAATATTTGAGCCAAAAATACATAGTGATCATTGTCACTTTGATTGTTTTTGATTAACTGTCTCTGTCTATAGTTGAAACGTAAACTATTTTCTACTTTAAGAGGCATATAAGCACAGCCCTTAAGAAATGCTGCTGATTTCTAACCTTGCTTACGATCTTTATGTTCGCGATGTGTTGCGTTCATAAATTAACTATGCTCTGTTGTTGGTCCCATAAACAATAAAACAACACAATTTTTTTTTCATATACCGCATAGTTGTTGATCTACATCAGACAAATTTTTATATCACCATGAAATTCGGTCATCAAGCGCATTATGTGAGCATTACACCTGTCAATCATGCCTTTGTCGTGTGAATTTACACACTAGAAATTTTTAAATGCCGACGCAAGTAGACTGCTACAACAATAAAGGCAAACAACCAGAAAAAATATAAGCAAACAACTATAAAAACAAGAAAAAAACGTTAACTTCGGCTGCATAAAAAACTTAAATACCCTTCACATGTGCATTTTTTATAGCGTAAAATGTTGTAAAAAGATATTTAACTTGATTTTGATCGGTCAGTTTACATGACAGCTAAATGCTATAGTAGTCCGGTCTGAACAATATTTTTGTAAATAGGAGCTATACCTGATAGATAACCTGTGCAAAATTTCGTGAAGAAACGTTTTCAATACAAGTACCTGAGTTTTACTGATTAGTACACATATGTTAGCAATGCTTTGGATTAAATTCAATCGGTTCCGACAAATGGGCAGCTTCTTGAAGAGAAAAGCATGTGTGCAAAATTGTATATCAATATCTCAAAAACTAAAGAACTAGTTCGCGTGTATACAGAAATATGGACATGGCTAAATTGACTCAGCTGGTCACTCTCATCATTTACATAGTTATATACTTTGTAGGGTCTTCGACGTTTGCTTTTGGGTGTTACAAAATTCGGGGCAAACTTAATACCTGGTGTACCGGTATGGAATGAAAACGAAAATTTTTGTGAAATTAAAATACTAATTTTGAATAGGGATGTAAAAAAATTGTCTTCAAAGTATTGACCAATGCTTTTTGCACATTTCGATTATTTTTCTGGCAATCTGTGGATACTATGCCAATAGAAATGTTCAATCAGACACCCGATTTACCGACTTCTGCTTAGAAAGTGTTGTTTAGCCAATGTGTGTCCCATCGATGAAAACAAATGGCAAGCGGAAGGTGCCAAGTCTGGTAAATACGGCGGGTGGGATAGCAGCCTCTCGCCAAGTATTTTGGTTGTATCCTGAACCGATTTTTCTTTGTGTGCAGGTGCGTAGTTGTGTAACAAAATTACTTTGCCGTGTCTTCTGACCCATTCTGGTCATTTTATAATCAATGCATGATTCAAATTGATCATTTGTTGTCAGTAGTGATTAGTATTAAGAGTTTTATCAGGTTTTAGAAGCTCCTGGCATTGCCTTCTCACCGAATCGATCTGTGCTGGTTGTCCCGGACTAACCCATGATTTTCTCAGTTTAGGATCCAGAAAATAAATTCATTTTTCATCGCCACTGACAATTTGATGCAGAACTGATCTTTTTTCGTGTCTTTAAAGCAAAATTTCACAAGTGTTTTTTCGGTTTTCCATTTTTCTTTCACTTCATATGGTATCCATTTTCAACACAATGAAAAAATATGATGTTGTTTGTTCAATGACTGTAAGGTTATTGTATACGTTTGACAGATGTCATGCCAACCAAACAGAAAAAAAAAATTAAGGCTCATTCACAACAAATGTTCTCTACCAACCTAGTATAAATTGTTTAGGGTATAATTATACAAAAACCACCGATAACAATGGGTCAGAATAATTACCGCTAAGTAAATACCATTAAATTCTACTTTATGCTAAAACATTAAGTCAATAACACCTTCGCTCTGACATAAAAGACCTTTTAAGAGCATTTAACATAGTGAAAATAACAACAACACGGCAACAAAACATTAAAGAGCGTGTGGACCGCGTGGCAAGCATATATGCACACACATATTACCAGCTGACTGCTGATTTCATTTGCAGTATTTTAATAGCCAACCTAGAATGATACAATGCGCTGTTGGAAAGTCATAAAAATGTATACGACACGGCGGCTGTGTGGTAGCAAGCAGTTACTAGTAGGCAAGCGAAGAGTTAACCAACGCTAGCTGTCCAGTCCTGTCAGTAATCGCCACATGAAATGTTCTACCGCTGCAATAGTAGTGGCAGCAAGGAGTTGCGAACAGTTTTATTGCTACTGCTGTGTATCAGCGGCACGCTCGCCACGCTCAGTCCGCCGCAGTCAAAGTGGGAGGAGATAGGAGGAGGTGCGGAGAGGGTGTTATCACGCAAGAGGCGATATGTAGCATTTCCGGAGGGCTCTTCTTTGGCGGTGAGTGTAACAGAAAAAAAAATAAAATTGTAAATAACGTTATAAACGATAAAAATATGTTAAAAAACGGTGGCGATGTAATGAAAAGCCGCTCTCGTACAAATATATACAAAACAAGTGACAAACAGTGACAGTTTTACAACATTTTTAATTGCTTTTCTCGCATGCGATAATCGTTATTTTTTAAGGCCTCCATTTGTATGACCATCGGTGTTATTGGCAACCCCAACACAGACTTTCTGAGTTGGGCCGAAAATTGGGGTGTGGCTTACGATCTGCCCAATTACGCTTGGGTGAAGGAACATACGCGTGGCTTTAAGAAAGACATGGATGCCAATAAAACAAAAGCGATGGCCATGCGTCGCTCGAGACGTGATTTATTTGGAAAGCTCGAAACAATTATTGAGAAGTAAGTTGGCAATGAAGTCGTAAATAAAAAAATTATTATTTTCGATGTGATATAATATAAGTGAATAATGACTGAAAATGGTGAAAACGTGTTGGTAGCTGTTCGGAAGGACATGTGATGGTCCTTTATGAAAGTAGTATATTATTTTGGGAAGAAACTGAAATGTTTTTGTCATTTATTGGTAGAAAAAGAGTTGAAGTGAACTGAAAGATGCTCACCTTGTATATTCTTCAGATAGGGTTAGGATATACTGACCGGCTGTCATTCCATAAATAGGCCAACTGGTCTTTAGTAATACCAAATGGAAGTTAAGTTTAATTTGAGCTGAAGTTTTCGTCATACAGGACGTCCACGCTTTTTGCAAACTTGCTCAAAACTTTAAGAGCGACTTGATATCTAATCTTAATGCTTTATCTTGTCTCTAAAATTGCGAAGCTTCTAGATATCAAAGACGAATTTTAGATAATGCTGGACAGAACTATAGCAGGTGTTCCAGCGACTCTCTTATGTATCGCCACTATTTATGCACATTCGGCTCACATGTAATGCTAGTAGGTTGTGACTTGTCGTTCTGCCAACAACCATCCTGTAGACCTTTCGAGACTGGGTGAGTAAAAAACTTGCGCGTTTTTCTTCGAGGCTTTAGCACATTATCTTGGCGATCCTGCATGTCCTTATACCATTCAAACTCGCCATGATCCGTCTATCAGCCCTTTCGGAAATTTCATTACACGGATGGCACTTTTAGCAATCTTATCAGCTATTTCGTTTTCCGGAATACCTTTGTGGCGTCGAACCCAGTATTTATCGTCCGTCTGTTGAGAAAATTCTTCTTCGTAATTGGCACTATGTCCAACCGATTTATTTTGAACGGGTTCGCAATGGCGTGGTTAGTCGAATTTTACTATATTTACGTTAATTCGAAAAGCGATGTAAAGACGAGTTTCTTTCCTCGTATTTCTGACATCTTAAAGTGTTTCAAACTGGAAATTTTGAGGAGAGACATCAGATTCTAGTCAGGGTAGTCACTAATTCCTACAGTTTCAGAAATTGTTTGCACATTTATTTCTGTTTTTCCTCTCATTGGAACTTGTCTTCGTCCAGTTTTCCGTGCCATAAATTAGTATGATCAAAAAGATAAACTTATAAATTCTTCGGGTCTCGGCTTTACTTCGCAATCGGCTCAGTGCAACGCAGAACTTGTTAAATATTTTGAATAACTTAAACAAACTCTTTTCGCCTACAAGTAGTTCTACCAAATTGCCATAAAGTTTGAACGTATTCGTAACTTCAGTGAATATTGCTCGACTTCAAAGCACCTTGGGTTGAATTTGTAAACCTACTCCGTCTATAATAGAAACTTTCTGAGACGTCTGTTGAAATCTGATGAGTTTTCTCTTACTCAGGAATACACGTAATTTTTCGCAATGATCATTGTTCGAACCCATTTTTGATCAGCTGATAGTTAGATCTTCAAATGAACTAATATCTTACATAATACCTAACTTTTTTATGAGCCAGAAATCCAAATCAGAAGAACTCAGCAGCTGAAGAAACTGCAGCAGGAAATAGATTTTCTTAGTCACTTATAATATGTATAAGTTAAGTAATAAGTCTCACTGGATCGTCAATCGTAGCAGCAGAGAAAGAGAGGAAAAGATCTCATCTGGTGTTAAATGAGAAGATAATATGAAAAAGATGAGCGAAAATTTAATAACTTTTAGTCATATCCCGAATGCCACTGCAACTCTAAGACTTTCAAGCTGGTAAATAAATCTGTTGGTAATTTTTATTTTTAGAGAGCTTAATTAGGCTTTGTGGAGTGCGTTCAGAAAACTACAGAATTCTCTGGTTTTTCTATTTTCTATAAATTTTTGGAAAGTCGTTGAGTTCTATAGTGTCGTTGCAGAGAGAAGGTATATTAGAACAGAGATTTACACTCAAGATCAAATTAGACAAACCTTTCTCTAATTGACATATGGAGATCAAACTTTTGCACAGGAACAAAAAAAGTTTTATCAATTTAGAAAAAAAATTGAACAATTTGGTTTGTGCGCGCAGTTTATATGACCAGTTCGGGTCAAATTTGATCTGGAGTGTATACCAAAGCTTTAGTAAAGTTATGTTAAAAGAAAACGACAAAACTTAACTAACGATTTTGAAGTCATTTCGGTTCGTAAGTCAGGCTCTCGTTCGAAGGATTTGCTTTGGAAGACTTATGCTTTGCCTAACATATGCGTTTTGTTTCATTGTCGTTCGAAGCAAATAATTAATTTTTTTCCACTTGCCTTCCACCTCTTCTTTTCTCTATAATTTTAACTTATTTAGCATGGGTTTCGCTGGACATGAATGCATTGCGCGTGCGCTTTGCGAGTCGTCGAAATATTTAAACGTCGATCGGCAGGAGCGCGGGAATATGCTAACGGAAATTGTGAAGACCGTATTCAGGTGCGTAATTTTAACTCAAATCTGATACTCTTTGCTAATTAAATGTATCATTCTGTTGCCTACTCCTATTTATGTAGCTTCCCAACTGATCCAGTGTATGATGACGAACCGGATATATTGCATCACTATGATCGTGTATATAAAAGAGCACGTCGCGAGGTACTCGATTGTAGCGTGGAGCATGCGCAATGTCATTTTTCTTTATTGGAAATGATCTTTGGCAAATACTCCATAACAACAGCAAAACACAGTCCACAATTGTTGTCGAGTTTGCAAAAAGGACGCGGCTTTATGTAAAGTGATTTGTTTCGTGGTATTGTACATTTACTTAGATACATAGTGGTTAGTTAAATAGATTTAATAACTATAATATATAGTACATTTAATAACTATAGACATAGTAAGAATACATTATATGTCATTAATGTTTAGAAAAAACGGAGCATATTAATTTTTGACATTTGGTGATAGAAATGTGCTAAAGCGATTTATACTTGGACTTAGCCCCAAAATTTCTAATAATATTACTTTCGACTTTTCTTTTAATGGATTTTCGGAACGTATGTGCGATAGTTTAGATTTGTTTCGTATAATATATCGTTGTATCAATGAATATGTATGTATATGTAGGGAAAATCGGTTCTTAAATCTGACCAGCTCCTCATACCGAATATTAGGATTTCCGTCAGCGAAAAAATGTATATATGGTACTATATTAGTGCAATGATATTATATATATTACTAAAAGTGGAGGTCGTCGGTTCGTGTCTTCACTTATCCTTTATAATATATAATGAATATAACTATTTTTATTACCACAATTAGTATTATGACGTATATATGTATTAGCCAGTGTATGAAATCATTTATAAAATTATATATTAGGTACTAAAAATGACCGGAAATTAATATAATTATCTCGACCTTAGGTTCGAATGCAGACACAATGCTATAATTACTTTTACTACAAAATCCTAAGGCACTTTCGAGTCGCCGCAAATTTGGAAGTAAAGAATCGTGCACATAACTTTCTTAAGTGAAATATATCGTCACAATTAAATAGAGATAGTATACTTGTAGGAAGACGTAATGGTGTGGTGTTCGAAAACTTCTCATAGAGATCTCAGTCAACTCCATCAAGGACTAGTGTGCATCGCTGAAATGGTAAATTCAATCAAGGTCGTAGATCATTTCAAGATGAATTTCGTGAAGATCGTCCAAAATCAGTTGCTGTTTTGGAAACTATGGATGCTGTGCACAAAGTGATATTGCAAGATCCTTATGTGATCTATCGTAAGATTGATGCATTAGTGGAACCAGCATACATTCCATATGGTATGAACATTTGATTGTAAAAAAAGAAAAAATATTGTTCACTTTGGTTACCACACATTTTATCAGTCGCCTAAAAAATGATCGTGTCGATTGGTCGAAAGAAATGTTAAAAAAATACGAAAGTGGTGCGGTGCTTTCACATCGTGACAGGTGATATATAGTATCATAGTAGTAAACAGCAGTCGACTGTATGGGTGTTTCCAGATGTTTCCTGTTTGTTTGGAAAAACTGGACATGTCACAATCATATCACTAGAATAGTAAATTCTAAGTGGTACACAACTATTTTTTTGTCAGTTCTGTCTTTCAAGAAATCAGAAAAACAAACCGCCGAAGACGGTACACTCTTCACCACGACCATGCGAGCTTTCACACATCGACTAAAACAATTGCATTTTTGAGCACTCAAAATATTGACTGGATGAGTCAACCACCATATAGGCTTTGGCATCGAATGACTTCTTTTTATTTCCGTACATAAAAAATTTACTAAGAGGTCTACGTTTTTCGACACCTGAAGAGCCGGTTGATGAGTTCAGAATGCATGTTTTGGAAAGGAAATTTTAAAAACCAATATAGCGATTTTCGATGATTCATACCACGTTACAGGGGTGATTTTCTCAAGTTATCTACCACTATTCCGATTATATTTACTTCTTACCTTCATGTTAATGGATTTTGCAGTAGAGCAATTGTCGTTGAGTTTGATGGTTTCTGTGTAGTGTCTTGAGAACTTCCCTGCAATACTTACGCCTGTTCTTAAGTCCAACAAATGAAATATAACTCCAAGATTTTTTAAAACAAATTTGTTTTTTTATATATTTTTTGCATTTTATTGATTCTGTTGTTTTGTTAATTTATTCATCAGTTGTTTTCTTGCTTTTAATTAAATTTTTTCTCATTTTTTATTGGTTGTATTTTTAATAACGCATAACATTTATTTATATAATAATTATCATTTGTTTATTTTAATTATTTTATAATTACTTTAACTGTATTAGTACTTTCGCTATGATTCTTTATATATATGGTATATGATTTGTTATTTTTAGTTTTTAATTTTTATTTTTTATTAAGTTTGCACAAATTCATTTTCTTATTTGCAATTACGTCACAAAATCCGTCAAATTGTTTGCTTAAACTTACATTTCTATGTAATGACTTTAGGCTCTTAGTAACTTATTAGTACTTAATTAATTTTCATGTGTGTTTCTTTGTTTTGCTGCGTGAGTTTATTCAATTGTTTACTTTGCAATGCAAAAGTTTTGCATTCTCGTGTTTTTTTTGTTTTTATATTTCATAAATTGATTTTTATTTATGTGCTACAACGAGTTGCTTTTAATTTAATTATTAAATTAATTACTTTTTATGTTTATAAATAACTTATGCACTGAAGTGTTAATTTTATTTGTATGCTGTTGTCTTGCATTTATGTAAATTTCAAATATTGATTTTCATGAATTCCATGTTGTAAAGACTAGTATTTTTCATTTTGTTTACCCAATTTAAATTATCTATATCTTAATAATATTTTTTTATTAAACTATTAATTTTAAATTTTCGTATCCTTTGCTTTTGTGTTTTCATATTATCTCTGTATTTTTTGTTAATCATTTATAATTTATGCATAATTTTTTAATGGTTTTGTCTAAAGTTGTTTATTTACAGCGTGTTGCAATTGTCTTGCACTCTTGACGCACATTACAACATAAAAATCGTACGCGTGTGAACGAGTCTTTACTTTTAATACAGTTATAACAGTTCTTGGTACATACGCTTAACGCAACTGTGCTCTCTCTTACTCTAATAATTCTAATGTGACGTTCTCTTATATTTTATATTGTTGTTAACATTTTGGTTGTTGTTAATTATTAACATGCAATTATCTTAGGCGTGGCAATTTTCGTTCGTATATTGTGGATTCTCTATTTGTTGTTTCTCCGGTAATTTTATTTTTCGTTTATTTGAGTTTGCTCTTTTCAAAGTTAAAGTTGAGTTCACACTAAACGACCATAAAGGTGGCTGTACTGCACGAAGTAGTTTTTTTTATCAGCAATGAAGCATGTGGCAACCAAAATTTTGTTGCCGGTTTCTGCTTAGTACCCATATTTATCGAAAAGTAAACTTATTTTAACATAGAACATTTTAAACTTTTTCAACACAGCAGTCACTAGTTTTGAAAAATATGGTTACAAACTTTCGATTTGTCTCCAGCACCAACTTTTTTTGTCGTTTAGTGTGTTGCCATCCTTAGATCCTCTTTCTGTTTCTCTCATTCCTTCGCAAACTATTCATGTTGCCTTCACTCTCTCTTTTTTATACTATGCTGTATGTACCCGTTAACATTTCACTGTTAAACAACTTTGCAGAGTATCTTTGAAATTTTATTCAGTACTTTAAAGATAGTTTATTTATTGTTGTAGTGTTTTTAAATATGTTTTATTAATTTTTCATATGTGAGATGTAAATGCAATTCAATTTCGTATGTTTTTACTTTTCTTGTTTTTTATTTTTCATTTTTCGTTTATTCGAAAATTATTTCAAATCCATATACTGTTAGCAGATGTATTAAGTATTTAGTGTGTTGTATTTTTGTTTAAATTTGTTTTGTTGTTTTTATGTACTTTATTTGTTATTATATTTCTTATTAAAAATCTGCGTAAACTTAGACCCTTAGACACCGAATATAGATACATTACTGTACTGTTATTGCAATATATTGCAGTATTTTCATTAATCATACCAAAATATATAGTATTGTGTTGTTTAGTTGTTAGTGTAATGCAGTTTATTTATAAATACAATAGTTGTTAGCATAAATAGTAGTGTTTTTTCTAACTTTTGCGTAGCATTAGTTGTTTTATTTATAATTTGTTTTTTTTTATAATTTTTTACTAAAATTATTTTTTCCGCGTCGTTCTGCCTCATGTGTGTGTTTTGAATTTTTTTTATATAACTACAGTTATGTTTATCAATTTGGTGAATTTTTTTTTTTTTTTGATTTTGTCGTGCAACTTATAATATATTAATTAAAAACACACATGACAACGCTGCTTTCAATGCAAGCTGGCAGTTCTATGAAATTAAAAAAAGATTAAGCAAAAAGCAATATAAATCAGAACATGTTTGTTGTAATAAAATAAAAAAAAAAAACGTTTACTTTGTCTGCGTTTTATTTGGTTTTAAACGTGTTTTCGTTAAAATATAACATTTTTTTATTATTGTGGTGTTGTTTTCCCCAGTGACGCTTCGCTGTTTAGAGTTGTTACTCCGACCTCTGAAGCATTTAAAACTATGAAATAAATTTTATCTACATACAACTATCGGTTGTTTTGATAAAACGTTTAGCTTTTTCTTTTACCCAAAAGCTTATTACTAAATTTTTGCCTAAAGTCTATTCTTTAAATTTAGTTGTTTTATTCAAAATTACAAAAAATTTACAGTATACATACATAGTCTAGTACAAAAAATCATTTACACACATTTACAATACACTTACAACTATGCAGTGAGTGCTTATTTAATGGTTTAGCTCGTTTTAACATATTGTTTAGAGCTTATAGTATTTTATTAATGTTTTTTGTTGTTAAATATATACATTTTTGTTGTATATTTATAATTTTAAGTTTATGTTTTGCGATTTATGGCGTCTGTGTGCGTGCAGTTAGTGTATATATATGTATAAGCATGTTGGCGACTTAAGTTATAGATAATTTAAGCGCAAAGCACAATGTAAGCTCCGAGAAAGCTTTTGCCAAAAACAGCGTAGAAAAATTGGCGAAAAGTTTCGTAAAACATTTTTGAAGTTATAACAATTTTTTTGAAAGCCTTTTAGCCTAACTTTTCTCTAAAGTGAAAGTTCAATTTAAAAGATGCCATTAAAGTGTTTTTTAAATACAAGAAAAAAAAGCGAAAACAAGGCAACTTAAAAAAAAACACCGTTTCTTTTCGATATATATAATAAAATTATTAAAAAACTTAGAAAAAAGTGAAAGCTTTTAAGAAATTATATTAAAAAATTAAATTTTTACATTTTCTTATACCAAAAAAATTACTTTGCCAAATTAAAAATTATTTATTTTTTAAATCTACTACGT